GTTTCTGGATGAGTATGAGAACACTGCTTGCAGTTAACTGATATATGAGGCACATTTAGCAGAGAATGATGCAGCATATCTGTGCTAGCTGTTGTGTTGCACAATTGGGGGACAGATGGAAGTATGATGTGGACTTGGAGCCTTGACATCAGACTTTCATCCCTTGTCATAGAAACTTGTTGAATTTCTGTTCCTGGGAGCTGGATAGATACCAGAGTATTGTACTTGATATTGCCAATGTTAAGTAGTGTTGATTTCCCATTGTCGAAAAAGTGGATCAAAGTAGGTGTTCTGACATTGGACAGGATAGGACAAGCATCTCTCATGATGTCTGGAGAGAAAGAAGTATGCCCAGAACTGCATGAATGGGGTTGCAAGTGGTCATTGCAGACGTCTGATTCACATGCTGAATTCTGAACAGTGTGAACACAAAGGTAAAGGGGTTAGGCAAGCAATGCACAGGATACTGACCCAATGTCAGGACTTGGCTGAGAAGACCTGCTCTCCATCCCATGTGCAAGGACCATGATTGACATAACAAACTATAGCACTAGTGTAGTCACCAGTAATAACCTTACAGGAGATGGCTGGGGAGGTGCTGGTGTTCTGGTGTTTGAAGTGTTGTTGGGCAAACTGAATCCTGTGTTCACCCTGACTAAGCAGCGTGGGTCTGCACCAGGCCCCGGGTCTGGCGGAGAGGCAGCTTGTGGTTGAAATGAGCAGCCGCGGAGTCCATGGCCAGACTCGGCGGACCCAGAGGACCCCGTGCTTCGTAGGGCCCTGGGCCCTCCATAGTACCCATAGACGCGTCACGCCCGCCATAGCCTATCCCGGGGTCCCTGCTATCCGGGGATGCGGCATTTTTGTGATGTAGCGAAGTGTGGTGAAAAGGTGAAAAGGGGGAGGAGAATAAGGAGGTCGATGAAAAGAAATGTGTGGAGCAAGGGGTCACAAGGTGATCGTAGCGCTCGGGCATGGCACGTAGATATGTCTTAGCATATCTATCTCAGCGATTTGCTACCGATGTCGCATGCCTCGCCCTTTCAGCAATCCTTCCTCGTACTTCTTGTTGCACAGCAGCTCCAAGCTGGCAGCGTCGAGCTTGAAAAGCTCGTGGAAGGGTCGGTGAGGAGGAAGAACACAGTCGTGTTTTAGAGCAGGCGAGGGAGGAGTTGCCGAGAAGGTTATGGAGCTACTAGGCGTGGAGGACGATACCAGGAGGCAGTAGTCGCGTTCGCGAGATAGTCGAACAAGGGGGACACGCGACGGGTATGATACTGTGAAAACGTGTTTTTCCACCGCTTGTAGGGAGGCAGTATCTCACTGCAGCTTCAAGGACGACTTCATCGGGAGGGCGTCGATGTTGCAGGTCGGGGTTGTGTTGGAGGATATTGGGGAGATCTCGGAGTAAACGGGAGAGCGAGCGGATAAGCTCCAACTCGCATCAATATCAATAGATTCATTTTGCGACATGTCACTCATTTGCAGCAACAGACATCACATTGCCCTCCAACACAGCATTCGCAGTGTCGTCAGAGGTAGAGAGATGTCTGATGCGATGGGAGGAGAGAGGATTGTAAAAGACTCCACAGAGATAGGTGAGTCCTCCTCAGAGGGCGATGACGGTGACGGTGATGGAGCTGCTTCGCCTGCAGATGGTGTCCGCAGAACTGGTGGGCTCCGTGGATAATGGGTAGCATTGGCTTACTCCGAGCTTGCAGCGAACGCTATATCAAAATGAGGACAATCCTAATCAAGTGTAGTGCGCACGAGAGGATCTCTACTTCGCTATATTGCTGCTCTCTTGACTTCGCAGCGGGCTCATAGCCCGGTGAACGATGTCATGGATCGCCTAAGGAGGGTCCATGGTCAGCATTTGGATAAGAACTAGTAAAACGTTAGTAAACGTTGATTTATTTATTTCTTTTGTAAGAATAAGGCTCACAATGCCCGAAACTTTGTCTCGGAATTGATTACCACAGAGGTAGAGACGGTCGGATGATGACGAGGAGAGGGGTTGCGGCCCATCTCTCTGCGCGTCGTCTAGTTAAGTCCGAAGCAAGGTTCGCCGTCGGAGCTACATAGCATCCGACTAGGGTTCTCACTTGTGGTGGAACACCCAAATCAGACCAACAACAATAATAACGAGACTCGCAATCGACGGAAATCCGCACAGAATCATTGGTCATCCATTGCGATTAGAGTCGATCGAACTTGCCATGGAGCTCTTATCTGTAGAAAGGACCCTTCATCAACGTGGAGCAGGAAAGCAAGCCTGCTAACTCTCTTCAATCCTTCCTTATGAGGCTGTGCTAACCTTATAGAATACCGTAATGATTCCCGTTCCGGTACTTGTCCTAGCGCGCCTGGTATAGGGCATCCGCACTCCCGGGCCAGTTGGTTACGACCTCAAGACAATTGCCTCCGTATATTCGAGTCATATTTGCTCACATTCAGACGTGACTTGTCTTGTGCTGGTGTCCCGCTTACTCTTTTCAACCGCTGGGCTCTCTCCATCTCACCCTCTCTTTCCTTCAAACCGATCCATCTTGTGATCATGATCGGAAATGACCCGAAGCAAAACGATACATTGACACTGAATGCCCTGCCACGATCGGAAGCTATCGTCCTCCTGTCAGCAATACTTGCATGGCTCGAGGGAGCGCATTCAGCCGATGGTTTGGACGCGCTAGAGGAAACCGTCCGAGAGGACCGTCGCAAGCGATATCCGGCTTCGAGGGTGATGCGCACATACACCCGTTTAGCGCAGTTGTGGCCAGATGGTCGAGCAGGTCGCACTGTTTGCTCCGGACTTGCGCTTTCTGCTGGTGATGGTCCTCGAATCATTCTCCTGGACATCAGCCTCTGCAGCTACACCAAATCACAGGACGGATCTTTTCATGACTCTGGTTCGGGTGAGCCTTTAAAGAGCAGAGCTCGACTAACAAATCTATCAAGGTTGTATATCGGATGGTTCGTCAGCACAACTTGGTCGTATGCGGTGGAATATAACTTCGAGAGGACCAACCAGTGCGGCTCAAAAGATAAAAAAGATGAAGGACGTTGGTATTCTCGGACCGTGAGCCATGGTTTTCCAAGTGCTCTGTTCGGGATCCTCGCCAGGGGTAGATGTGCGCTGAGTTCTTCCACCCCCACAAGGCAAGATGTAATGGCACACGTTCTCAAAACCCTCCAATCGGAGTTTCGGATGGAGGAAAACGACGACATCATCCAGAGCAAAGCGTGGTGCGACTTTTGTTCTCCCTCTTTCAAGTTTTTCTGAACACCATAATGACAGGGACTGCTCTAAGTACTTACTCCGATACCTGCTTCCGGTTGTCGTTCGCTGCCTTTCTACCCTTCGCAATGAGTACCTGCAGCCCGTGAACGAAATCCTCCTCCAATGGGTTCCTAACGAGGACGCAGACCGATCTGGATCAGAGAAGCTATTTTTTTATCCCAGTTGCGGGAAAGACGTTCATCAGGCACCACGAAAAAGTTGCAAAGTCTGAGGGAGATCACGAAACTGCTTCTGCTTGGTCACAGCTTCTGCTGGTTCATCGTATTCCCAAAGCGACCTCTGGCAACTCAGGACGAGTGAAGAATCCGGTATCACCTGAAACTGTCGGCGTGCTTGCTCCTCGCACATATCGCCAATGGGCCAAAGTGTTGTCTATCTTGATAGAGCAGATCTCGGACTTGTGTTGCCGTATCTACTTCTCGGACTGTCCCGAGATCGACCCGACCTCGTACACCACTTGTGACTGCGCATGGCTCGAAGAATATCATTCGCGCCACACCTCACCGTCACGCACCTATAGTGACTTTGTCCACGGTGAGGGGACGAACAAGATCGAGTCTTTGTTCCGCAAGCTGTTTGTGCATATGGAGGTTCTGTCAAGCTTTGCATGGATCACAGACTCTGAACAGCTTTGCTCTTGTCATGGGTATCTGTAGTATGGCATTTTGGAAAGACTCACCACCGATCCCAAGATCGGCCTTGCGCAGCATCTTGAGAAATGCTTGCGCAGGTCTCCCGCTGTACCTACCACACGTTGCCGATATCATGACGGATCCGGTGTCGATTCTTGTGACCACTATTGGACTCAGATCGGTACGTATGGCTCGGCCAGTGTTTTTCAACACCCTTTCCCACCGTGTTTGCGCGTTTGCAGGTGACAGTATTGAGCGAGACATGTCTTGTTCTCCGTTTCAGAGGAGTATGCAAGTAATATCGTTCTGCGTCTGAGGAGGGCGTACCCTTGCATCAGATTACAACTCCTTGCCTCCCAAAGTGAAGAAGATACCTGTGGATGCCACGACTGTCTTGATACAGGGCCAAATGGACTCATCGCTGCGCGTGCGTCTCGATTCTGAACGAGTGAAGAAAATTCTGGAGTATCTTTCAGCACACGTCAAATTATCACCACAACTTAGCGAAAGGTTGCAAAGATTCTTGGAACATAGCATTCAATCTCCGATCGCAGGAACCTTTCACGCCGAGGGCGTGGTCCACGAAATTTGCCGTGACGCTGCAAGTGCGAACTTGTGTCAAACAGAGTGCCGACATGCCGATCAGCGCTGTGTGTTATATGGAAAACTGCGGGAGGACAAAATTGCTTGGGATTCGTTGAAGGTGAGTCTCTCGATGGGGACATTGTGTAGCGATAACCTGGGGACCAGAACGCCTATACGACAACATGGACTGGCAGGAGTAGTTGCTCTGTTTGTGAATGGCGAAACCTCTCAGTCAATGAGCGGCCACGCACATGCGAGGGGCTGGGAGAATATCGTCCCTGCTGGTTGTTTGGTGTTTCGGACATGGAGGAGCAGGAAGTTTTGGCGATGCTGGAAAGAACTTGTCTGAGGGTTCTCCGTAAGATAACTGCTCGCCACGAACAAGAACATGCGTCGGACGAAACTGTTTTGGAGGTTGAAAGTCTTTCTAACTAGCATATGCCGGACTTTTAGGACAGCCAGGCATTATGTTATAGCTTTCTTTTCAATTGATCGCACAACAACCTGCTGCACTCATCATAATATCACAAATCCAATAAATATCAAAGTTTGTGCAGCTCCCCACCATAAGGACACGATCCACATCTTGCATCGACATGCCCCGCGCCACGGTCCGTGAATCGATAATAGGACGTCTCGAAACTTCGGGAGGAACCAGGAAATGTACTCGTAATTTAGTGCGCTATTGACATGGGATTGAGTCAGATATGGTCGGATTCAGTCACATGGAGAAGGAACGCACGCAGAGGACCTTTGACCACAGACCAATGAGGAGATAAGAAACCGGACCTCGGCTTCCTGATGTCTCCCTGTCCAACGCTGTGCCACGTATATCCCATGTCCATGAGACATCTGATCAATCAGATCGATAACTATCTCACGATCCCCCATCAATAACGTGCATTTCCAGGTTGAATGAGAACATAGGCGCTGGGAGTCGAAGAAGCCAAGGCTTCTGGCTGCGAGAGAATGTGGACAGTGTTCGCGGGCGGGTGTATCCCTACGAGGAAGCGGTGTTTTGGCGGGTTTCGCGTCTCTATAATATCTTTGTTAAGCGTGCTTGTTTCGTCGGATATGTGGGTAAGTTGAATCTCCCTGCTTCCTGACTTCGTCGTGCAAACCGACGGTTGGGAGGAAGAGCTGGAGGTCCGACGCAGATTTCGACAGCATCGAGGAACTCAAGCTAGGTTGGTCTGGAAATATTAATATTACCCGCTGATAAGTCCGGGAAGGTTGCATCGCGAGGTGGTCCTTTGTTCTTCATTCGTCTGCTCTTGCGAGCCTTCGCAGGATCATGGGAGGCAGGCAACAATGTCCTAGCCCGTTCGAGTGCACATAATGTGCGACATCGGAATGCACAAGACAGTCAGACGACACTTGGAATCCAGTAGATCGAGGCATGGGTATTTACTAGGTAGTCGATCCGCAGGAGTGTTAGGATCGGCCGACAGCATGAGCTGGTACAAGGCGTACCTTGCAATCGAGCATACCCTCTCTTCGCTCGAACTATTGTCCATCTGCTCATTGCGGTACCAACACGCGAGCCTCAACAGAAGTGCTCCACTTGCACTTGACGTCTTTGTTGGTGCGCGTGGTTCCCCAGTCGAGGGAAAGAGGGCGAGGGAGGCGCACGTAGAACCAAACGGTCGTGCCGTGATGGACGACAACGACATGGATGACATAGGCCGAAATTTGACGGTTGCGGCTGGAGTGGAGAGAATGTCAGGAGCTCGTGTAGAGTGGACAGGCGCAGAATTAGACGAGAGGAGGAAGGGTACATACATGAATTGGAGTCAACCTCGTGTACGCGAAGTTCTCAGACGGAGCTTCATCCTCATCCCGTCCGACATGAGCAGAGGCTTGATCTGGCGTGTAGGGTGAGCAAGCAGGGAGATGAAAGGAGGTCAGGCAGACCGTTGATGTCCTCCTTCTCCTGTAAGGCATTTGGCGCGGGTTGTCTACTCCATTGGACGTGAGCATCACAAGGCACAACATAGAAAGCAAAGGACGCACCATCCAATTCCCGGTCTGCATCCCTTTTCGCGGAGATGTGCTTCACTCGTTCCTGTTGCACATCCTGTCAATATCAACGTGAGCAGCTCGGAATTTTGGTCGGTCCCAAGAAGCACGACGTTCTGCTGAGAATTTAACCCGGAATACTGCGGGGATGTATTGACGATACCTCTCTTGAATTTGATCCATTTAGTTGTGCTTGTTGTGGATTATTTCAAGGACATGGACAGTAGTATTGACTACTGTTGCAGTCAGCACAGGTCATCCAGGGCAAACCTTTCCATCCCTTTTGCGAGTCATATTTGCTCACACAGAGGCTGTTGTTGTTTACCCTGCAGTGCTTTTGTGATCACTATAACTATTCGAGCTTGGGCAATATGGATATCCCAACTTTCTTCCCACCAAGCAAAAAGACAAGCGCTTATCTGCCCAGCCGCTCAAAACGTCGTCCGACACGTCGGATTTCTCTCCAATTTATCCGTCCTAGTCCCACTATCACACATCTATGGCGGACATAACCTCGAAGATCTGTGGTCACAACTACTGCAACCTTACTATTGAAGTCTGCTGTGTCTGTGCGGACAGACGTCCTGTCAATGGCAACGAAGCGGTGTATATCGATGGTCGAGGGTTGGTCACAGTCAAGGGTAGGCCGGTGTTTGGGTACTGTCCAGCGTGCAAGAGTTAGTTCATCTCACACCCACATACACTATGACTGAGCCAGATATAGAGCGAGGGGGACACACCACCGATTCATCATTCATAGCGACATTTCACGATCTTCCTCTTGCTCCGAACCGAACCCCGCGGCGGACCAATGTTCCCCCCCCACCCCCGCGACACAGCTTCAACCACTTTGCCTGCTTCCACCGATCCAGCTGCAAGTCCGTCCGCGGCGGCGGGCGGTCGTGTACGGAGTGCTGCGTGTGCAGGGTGAACAACCTCCTCCATTTGGGAGGAGACGGCGACATGGCAACGCCGGCCTTTACCCAAGGCCCCGCCCAAATTCTGCATGGTGTGCAAGTCTGTCCAAGGGTATCGACAGGTCGTGCAGAGATGGGACGATGCGGTCGCGTTTGAGTTGGACGTCGGCGTGAGGGCGGGTCCGGAGCCGGAGAGATATATCTCCCTTCCGTTGGTGGATCTGCCAAAAGTACCGGAGATGTTTGTCAGGGCCGTCATCATGGGAGACGAGACATCGTTGGCTCCATTACCAACTTTACGAGCGCCTGACGATCACTACCCGTTCTATCCCCCCCAATCCGATGACGATGATGAAGAGGGAGAATATTGTCCACCCTTATCCGAGGACGACGACTGGGGTTGCGAACCACCACAAGAGGACGACGCATCCCAACTTTCCCGCGCGCCTTCACGGGCAACCTCCAGATTCACGTTGCTCACGAACGGTGAGGACGGGATAGACGAAGATGTGCTCTCTCTTTCTGATTTGGGGAGTGATGATGAATCTGAGTGCAGGGCTGATGCCACTTTTGATATATGATATAAAGGATGGTCATCGGCATCTAGCAGTGTATCATATACGATGTACTTAATAAAACGATTGTCCAATTCATCATGACAGCTGAATCGAAGCCTAATAAGTATTGTGTACAGAAAGGAGGCACCCCACCTCACCTGAGGTTGCCGTCGTCTGCATGCTTCCGGCACAATGCGTACAATGAATACGGGCGTCCTAGGGTGGGCATGCGCTTGCTTACTTTTCCTGACCAAGCTTGAACAGTTTTGATATAACGCTTGGTTCTAACTCAGTCTCTTCGGCAGACTGATGAAATATGCTGTCGAACAGGAATGCTCCCCTATCTGACCTCGTGACGTATGAGATCAATGCTTGCCGGAAATCGACTCACATTAGGCGCAGACACGACTGGAGATGCGATTGCAAGTCAGCGTTAGGCACATCGATGCACTCGGACGATGTGCTTGGTGATCGATGGCTTCGTTGGGGCACATTACCACCCTCTGCCAGCGATTCAGCTTGCTCGAAGCGCACGATTTTCTGTGGAGACCGATTATATGGATCCCCGGATGCGCAGGGGAGGCGACGGTGGCTTGCTGCTTAGGATTAGGCTAGGCAAGGCAAGGCAAGGAGTTGTGTTCGTCAACAGTCTGAGGGGCCTACGCTTCGAGGAGGATAAGCACCGACCCTGACGGCGGTCAGGCTGAATGTGCCCACTCCCCTTCGACATCCCTTTCCTCTACCATGACAACACTTTAACTAGCTGATGTCTTCTATTGAGATAAAAGACATATCCACCAGGCGGTATCATAACTGCCCTGTCTGCAGAGACTTGTGTTGCGGCTCAGAGCCGTCCAGCTTGTGCTGCTGTGTGTTCAAGCTCAGGAATGTGTGTTCGACGCGCTGATAGACCGACAGTGTGCTACAGAGTACGCAGGTACCCCGACGCGGAACCCAGCAGTTGTCGCTTTTGTCGAGGCATGTGTCGAGCATCGGAATGAGGGAAGCACACTGATGCAGAAGACAGATAAGGTCACCCAGTCGATATCCGGCACTTCAAGCCAGGCGGCGTCTTGGGCTCAACAACCTGTGCACATCTCCATGCCCCAAGCCAGCGCGGCAGAGGCGTTGCAGGTCCTGGATGAATTCTTACAAGAGAATCGAACACGAACTATGCGGGTCAAGGGGATTGTGGAAGGTGTTGCCGAACTGCTCGCGAGTCTGACACAGGATTCGGGTGCGTTTATTTCCCCTAGACAGTAGCCTCAGCTCATATGTACCCAGATACAGACGTTCTTAACCGTCTGAACGAACGCGCGCAGACACTTTCTGATACTGTCGAAAGAATCAGCTCGTCGTTTTCCACTCTCGTCCAAACCTACCTCGAGATCAACGACTCCAACGCGTCGCGATTTGTCTGGAACCTCCGGCGCAGGGTAACCATGACCAACATACCTGCCCTTGATGATGTGCCACCTATGCCGATGAATGAGGAGGATTCAGTGTCGTTGTTCAGAGAGGTGTGTAATAGGATTGGAACAGCGAGGAGGGAGGTGGACGGATTGGACGGCAGGCTGAACGCGTTGCTGGGTACCGTCAATTACATCCTTGGTCCGGAACAAAGGGCATCCATCTCCATTCCCAATGCCATTGAACCACCTGACACTGAAGTATCTGACGCCCCCACGTCCGCCTCAACCCCTGCCACCCTCCCCGTTCTTCGCACGTCAATGCAGCTCGATCCTTCCCGCCTGCCCAAGGACTGTGGACATAACGGTTGCCAACTTTCGATACCTCTCTGCTGCATATGCTCAGACAGACGCCCACAAGCGACTCGGTATTATGTGTATGTCGATGGCAGGGGATGGGTGGGCGGAGGAAGGAGGGATGCGCATTACTGCACGTCCTGCCGTCGTGAGTATCATCCTTGCAGTGATAGAGCAAATATTGACTGGGAGCAGCGCCGCCGACAGATCTTGATGAACTTGACCCGATCAACGAACCAGATTACTATGATACTGACCACGGGCAGTTTGACGAGACCGATGAGGAGCAAGAGAATCAGTCATTGCCAGAACCTGCTGAAACTTCCGATGATGATCCCGAGTCGGTTGCTGAAGTCACCAACCCAAATCCGCATGCGGTCATATCCATTCCCGAGGAGCGAGAACAATTGGCACAGGCGTTTTCAGGGCCGCATTCTGAAGTTCAGGCAACCAGCACGTTTGTCAACTCGCACACTCGCCCCGATAATTCCACATCGAAAAATTGCGGACACAACTATTGCCAGCTGTCTAGACCCGTGTGCTGCGCATGTAGCGACTCGAGACCAGTGACAGAGTTCTACTACGCGTACCGCGATGGTCTTGGATGGAGGCCGGACGGGTTCAGGGGCGCTGGGTATTGTTCGAGCTGTCTAGATCACAGTTAGTCTACGTCTTTCCTCTGTTGCTCTCACTTTCCTGACGTATCGTGCCAGATGGTACCTTGTCAGCTCATAATGCCACTTTCCAACCGTCACAAACTGTTGCATCCTCTACAATATCCCTTGGTGCAGGCCTGACAGAGCGCCAGCTGCGTCGGCGCGATCTCTTCCGCGACCGCCTCGCGCGTGCCTTTGGCACTCTCCAAGAAATTCGAGATGACCCTTCCTACGTCAGTCCCATGGAAGCCATGTTCCAAGCCGAGGAGCCAGCGAACGATGCCCAGGAACCAGAATCGACATTTGAAGAATTGGCAAAGGATGCTACGGACATTCCCTCTGCGACATTCTCCGTTGACAACAGCTGTCGTGTTTGTTTGGCAGCCCACATCGATTCGTTGTTCTTGCCTTGTGCCCATCTGGTGTGCTGCAGACGATGTGCCATGCGTCTTACCCATACCCTTTGGCACGATGCTCCGGTAATCATTCAGGCCATCCGGGGGGCGCCGTGTCCCATTTGTAGAACCCAGATAGAAGGCATCATGAAAGTGTACCGGCCATAGACACGGCCCAGGCACTTACCCATGCATTGGTTGCCCTTTTCTGCCTTTCTCTATTATAAACTGTTTTTTTTTTCAAGGAAGACTGCCCAACTTGGTGTGTCTTCTGTACCCCTTGTTCTCCTGCCTACCCTTTCAAATGGTCTTTCACATCCTATCAGCACCGGAATGTATAATAGAATAGTCCACACACTTCCCAACGATATCATATTCCATTCTTGTGATTCTGTCTACCCTAACAACCGATGCAGCAAGTTCTTCTGGCACTTGAGACTTCCGTCTGTGTCCAACGTCCTCTCCTGTCCGACTTTTGCACTATTCGCGGACACGGATCTGGAGTGTCCTTTGAAGGAAAGGTTCGAATCAGGAAATACCTCATCATTTTCAGAGCTGTCACGCAGAGATTGAGCGGGTGCGACAGCAATATGAGCGCACGGGACAAGCGTGCGTTGTTATCCATTGGTCGCCGATTCCATGGTCGCCATGGCCGTCACTGAGTTGAACTCATTCTGCGTCTTCGAAGGTTCGAAGGGAAAGAATGGGGAAGTGGGCAGTCGGTGGTGCTGACTGATGTGTCGAATGTTTTTGTATGCAGCGGGCACGAATCCCATGGCGATAGCGAGGCATACAGTAGCTATTGTGTCAGAACAAGCGGGTTCCCAAGGTGGTTAAGAGGGGTTTGCGGACCGATGGTTCCGTAGTCTTGGCAGGGGAAAAGGGGAGAGTTGTAGGCGCATAATAAGAGCCATTTATTTCAGTTCGTCCAGGGCCAGGGGTAAGATGGAGATAGTCCCGCTGTTTGAGCTATTACCCAGCCTACCCTGATGCCACGCGGGCGCTTCTGATTGCCATGCAATTCATCACGTGATGTCGGAACATTACGAAGCTATTCCTGACGCCAAAGTATAAAACAGTTCGCAACCACTACCTTCGAGCAACATGCCCCGTTTCTTTTCTATCTCTTCCCCGCTCTATACGGCCTAGCCGCCTCCTCTCTCTCGCAGTCGCTTCGCGCACCCACTCTCTTTTCTCCTTCCACTCATTTTCACACACACTTTCACTTGTCCTCTTGACTAAACAACAACCCACACGCACCCTGCATAACCCATCGCCAGCTATGCGTTCTTCCGGCGGGATACACACCGGTCTCTTGGGTTTACTTGCCCTCGCCGCTCGCCCAGCGGCTGCTTTTTTCCGCATGGGATGTGGCTCCTCTTTGGTCATCGAGCGTGCTGACCCGTACGTCCTGCCTTTCCCTCGCGTTGCCGTGATTTCTTCTGCCACCTTATCCCGGCATACCCACACGGATAGCTAACGTGATCCCCTTTCGTATTGATATGCTGATGTCTGTATTGCACAGTATTGTTAGCCCCGGCAAACCCTCTAGCCACCTACACAATATAGTTGGCGGCAATGGGTTCGACTTCAATATGACTTACGATGATGCGCGTGCATCGACGTGCTCGACTTGCGAGATCGTTGAGGACTTGTGCGTGGCCATGTCTGTCTGTCTTTCTCTTTCGCTCACAATGCACCGCGATCAAGATCGAATTACTGGGTGCCGACGTTGCATCAGCAGGCCGCGAACGGGTCGTTTATCCAAGTTCCCCTGGTTTCCCCGATGACGGTCTACTATTTGCAGAGGTACAATTCCAACAACACGACCTTGAAGGCTTTCCCACCTGTGCGTTCTGACGCCTCACACATCTAGATTAACATTAACATTGATATTCCTCGATGCAGGGATTCCGTATGCTCGCTGGTAACCCGAATCTACGTTCCTACACCGATACGCTGGCACAGCAAGCTGTGTCGTTCGTCTGCCTTGACTACAGCGGCACGAGCGACCAGACGAATGTTTTCCCAACAAAAAATTGCCCGGATGGACTGAGGACTCAGATCTTTTTCCCTTCGTGAGTGTAGCTCGATCCTCCCTCTTTTTCTGAATACCTCATGCTGACCCGTTATTGGGTTGTAGGTGTTGGGATGGCGTCAATCTTGATTCTCCTGATCACATGTCGCATGTCGCATATCCCTCCGGGATGGACAACGGCGATTGCCCAATTACTCACCCCGTCCGGCTGGTTTCTATTTTCTACGAGGTCATCTGGCATATCGCTCTTTTCTGGCCCTGGCCGACGGACACGCCGCCATTTGTGCTGTCTTGCGGTGACCCGTACGTCTCGCTTCCTCTCTTCTCCCCCTGTTTCCTTCGCAGCGTGCCTGCGCCTTGGAAGGGGTGAGTCAAGGTAACAGCCTTACTGATTTCGTTGTTTTCTGGGCCCGATTTGCAGAACAGGCACGGCATTCCACGGAGACTTCATGAACGGTTGGGCCGAGGACGTCCTGCAATCAGCCATCGACCAATGCACGAATTTGTCCGGTCTGGTGTCCGACTGTCCCGTAGTTACAGTGCGCACCTCGGACCAAATGAACGACTGCGCCATGCCCTCTCGCGTGGAAGAGACCGTTGGTGGATATCTCGACGCGCTCCCTGGTTGCAATCCCGTTACGCCCGGGCCTGCGAATGCTGTCCCCGTCGCGAACTGCCCAGTTCCCGCGATCTTGCCCAAAGGAGAAGCTAGCTTCCTGAAGCCGGTGCCTGGCTGGACGGCGCTTGGCTGCGGACTGGATGAGGGCCCGCGTATTCTCCCCAATCGCTATACGAACGGGGCGATGACGGTCGAGGCCTGCGTCGACATTTGTGCCACGAATGGGTTCACGTACGCGGGACTTGAGTGGGCGCAAGAGTGTTGGTGTGGAAACACGCTCGATACAACTCGGCTGGGCCAGTACGCGTGCGACATGCCTTGCCAGGGAGATCCGTCCGAGTTCTGTGGTGCGAGTTCTCGCCTCGCTGTCTACAGCAAGGGTGGTGCCGCTCCCGTTTCAACCTCGTCTTCGACGGCATCCACAGTTGCTGCCCCCACATCTTCTTCAACTCCTGCCTCATCTTCTGCAGCGGGCTCGGCGCTATCCAATGTTGTCTCGGTGCCGGCTTCGTCTAACGTCCCTGCACCCACGAGTTCCTCGTCCTCTTCGGTGTCTAAGCCATCCAATACTCCTTCCGCTCCCTCCACCCCTAACAACAATGGGTGGAGCTACGCCGGCTGCTTCGTAGATGCCCTAAACCCGCGTTCTCTGAATTCGGCGGGGATGTACACGGACGTTCCCATGACCTCTGAGGCATGCATAGGCCACTGCGGTGCGATGGGCTTCCTGGTTGCAGGCACGGAGGTACGATGGTTCTCTTGCTCATTGTACTCGTTTCCGACCCTTATTTATTACAGTACGCCGGCGAATGCTACTGCGGCAAAGATGCATCTGTCCTCACCAAGGCGTCGGAGAACGATTGCAACATGGCATGCAAGGGCAACGCCTCTGAGATGTGCGGTGGACCCGCCCGTCTCAGCGTGTACACCCAGAGTACAACCACTGCCACCACCGGGCCTGCAGCAGGATGGTCGTCCGTTGGGTGTTTCGAGGACTCCACAGGTACCCCCGTGCTTAATGGCGCTGATGTGCTCACCAGCGCCACAATGACGCCGCTTTCTTGCACACAGCACTGCAATGACATGGGATTCATCGTGGCCGGCGTTGAGGTGCGCATTCATGTCTACCCGTCTTTCCAGGATCGTGCCGAGGCTGACCCGCACGACAGGCAGGGACCAAATGCTTCTGTGGTGATGTCCTGCCTTCGACGGGTGATTCTGCATGCACAACTCCATGCGGCGGTGATGCAACGCAGATGTGCGGCGGAAGCAGCGATCTCAGTATTTTCCAGAAGACAACCGTGACAGCTGGGTCAGCCACGTTCGCTGCGTCAGCCACTAGCGGCTGGGACTCTCTCGGATGCTTCTACGACCCGGTGAACCCCCGTGCTCTGAACGGTGTTGGCCGGTATGCTCCTGGCTCAATGTCGACAGAAACCTGCGTCGCGTACTGCCAGACCAAGGGATTCATCCTTGCCGGCACGGAGGTGCGTTGTACTGTGACTTGAATTGCAGCTGAGTCTGATATTGCCGTGATACAGTATGGTGGCGAATGTTATTGTGGCAACGCCCTCAGTCAGTCCTACCAGACACCCGACGGTGAATGCAACATGCCCTGCAGCGGTGCTGCGTCCGAGATGTGTGGCGCGGGGAACCGTTTGAGCGTCTTCATCCAGTCCTCCTTGCACAAGCGTAACGTGCGCGCACACAAGCGAGGCCATCATCCTCTCAGCCACTCGATGTGGTACTGAGTTCTTCAAGGAACGCTGCGCCCAGCTTTTTGCCAATGTTGACCGTTGGTGCATATTCCTCTAGTTGCAGTGTTGCTTTACCCTTTCTGCGAGGCCCTTTGTGCCTCATGTGTGAACCAGGTGTCAATAGGGGAGTATTGCTGGACGAATCCCGATGGCCCAATTACGCACAATTACCCAATATAGCTCCAGTCATTCACAATTGAACATGATTTTCTTTGATATGACTGCAGTGGAAACGCTTGTGAAGGGTGAGATAGATGGCAGCATCGCAACAGACACCAGTCAAGTGGCTCCCCACAGATTAATAAGGACACCGCTTGTCGTCTCGAAGGAAGGATCTTCATGCATACATAGGAAAGCTTTGATATTCCATGCCCCTGCAACTTCTTGCGAATATTGTTTCCTAGATTTACGTGGCATGTGAAGGAGTAGGTGTCTATGAGTTGTCAGTGGTATAGAGAACAGAGCTGATGCACCCACCGTTGTTTGAACCTCCTTTATGTATAAGTGTACCAGTTGGGGACGAAACTATCTGCTGGAAGGTGCAGGTACCTCGAGTACCCATGGGTGCAGAAATGGCAGCCATTGCGTCGTTCAGAAAACAGCTGGTGATATTAGTGAAGGTGTGGAGTTCCACCTGGTTTTCAATTCTAATTCGGTACTGCGCCTTTCGTATACAAATCTCTCTCGTCCAGCGCATTCAACAGTCCCTCACCCCTCCGATATTTTGCAATGTTCTCCAGTACCACCGCTACACTCCTCTCAATTTTGTCTGGCATCTGTGGCGTTGCATGCGGCGTAATCAATACGTTTGACATATTCCAGAGCTCGCTGTCTTTCCCAAGCGGTTCCTGCTCGAATACGTCCAAGCCTGCCCCAGCAATCTCGCCTTGCTTTAGCGCTGCGATCAGTGCAGGCTCGTCGATCACCGCACCACGGGCGAGGTTGATGATCACGCACGAGTGCTTCATGCGTTCGAATTCGGGAGTGGAGAAGAGGTGGTAGGTGCTGTCAGACAGCGAGCATGAGAGCATGATGAAGTCGGCAGCGAGGATACCATCCGCAATCCCTTGACCAGCTTCGGTGGAGAGCATGACATCCACGTTCTCGTCCTTCTCTCCTTCCCCATGCGAACGTCGCAGAATTGTCACATGCATGCCCATTGCACGCCCAATTTTCGCCATCTCCTTACCAGTATACCCGTACCCAACCACACCCAACTTCTTCCCCCACAGTGCTCCACGCTCCCTATACTGTTCGATCTCCTCCCCCGTGCCCCACACGTTCTGCTCCTGCCGCTGGAGCATCTTCCGCACATCGTACACAAAGCACTGGGCGAAGAAGAACGCGTGTTGGGCAAGTGCTGGGCCGGAGCGCCCTGCGCTACCAGTCACGAACAACCCGCGCTCGAACACCTCGGGGCGAGCGGAATGGTTTAATCCCGCGTGGTCACAGTGGACCCACTTGAGCTCTCTCGATTCCAGCACGCTATCGTTCAGGTCTCCGGCGAGGAGGGCGACCTGCGCACGAGGCAGACTCGAGGCGATGGTGGAAGTGTCTGAGCGGGAACATTGGATGAACTCAACAGATGGACCGAGAGCGGACTGGACCCGTGCGATTTCGGCGGTAGGCCAAGTGAGGGTCGAGAGAACGGTGCGAATCTCGGGACGGGAAAAGAGAGAGGGTGACATTGTATTCCTGAAGCCTGATATCAACTGTATTCACCTTGGTTGGTTAAATACACAACATAATCTATTAGTTGTTAATCCACCTCCACCACCCTCCTTCCTCTCCACCTGGACTGATGATTCGGTTGCTCGGGCCATTTACCCGCAACTCCCCTCCGGAGCCCAATACCGGGATGGTACTATATACCATAGGGTCCTCTGCCTGTTGTATGTATGAATTGATTCGTAATTGTCTGTTGTCTTCTAGTCCTCCAGGCGCATCAGAGGTACAGAGTGGGCTTTCGGTAAGCCCGTGGTGGTTGTTCGAGCATTACCCATTGGCAGCATGCAGATATCAACGACTGATCGTTTGCGTCCTAGCCCCATCCGTCGCACACGTCAGCAGTTAGATGTGGGACTGCGTGGTTCAGGGTACATATCTACAACCGGAATTGAGACGCGGGGCCGCCAGAATGGATGACGCTGCGACCACGGCTCAACGGCAAGGTTTTGCAGCCGATCCAGGTAGACCATCAAGTTACCTACCGCCGGATCGCCGATAGCCATGCAGACTTGGCGGAGCACGACGCCGTGCCAATGGGCTCGAAGCAACTCGGGCGCCGTCTTGACTAACTCTAGTCGGAAGATGGCTCGAAGTCGTTGTCGTTCATGGGTGTCCTCGGCATAGTTCCGCGGCTGTGGCTGATCATCAGACGTGATGAAGCGCTCATCGTCATCGTCGTAGTCACGTGGGAGCTGGATCGCCCATTCGGGGAGAAAGGCTGTGTACGACAGGTCGATCCAGGTCAGCGCGCCCGTCCGAGGGTCGTACAAGATGTTCCATGGTGAGAGATCGCCGTGATTCAGGTGGTACTTGTCCGCCAGCCCCTCGCCGGCACATAAATGGTCATACACCCGGACCCCTTCCTCGAGTGCAAAGCGCGGTCGTTTCAGATCAGGCACGTCTCGAAGGTTCCCCAGGCCTGCACAGGCGTTGATCCATTCCGACCGTTTCGAGAAAGGACCGCATCGGTGCATGGGATACAGCAGCTCCAATACATCGTCGGAAAACGCCGCGCTGTTGAGGGGGCCGATGCGAAATCCCCCGTCCGGCGATGCGCGGGACACCGCATGCACGGCGTCGTCGCCTCTGCAGGGCCACGCCAAGTCGGCGCGCGGCACACAGAGCTCGACGCCGCGGTCGTCACGTCCAGGGAGCAGAGAGCCGATAAACGGCGAGGTGATCTTGTGCAGCTGGGCACAGTAGTCTGCTAGTGTGCGTACGACGCGCTCCTTGTTCACCATGGGTAACGATTTGAACACGTCACCCAAGGCCTCACCGTCCACGTAGGTCTGCAGTATCCAGGCCGCTCCCACAGGGTTGATAGGCTGGGGGCAGTACTGGATAACGCGCGGAACGGGGATACGGGTGCGCGCTGCCAACGTTTCAGCCCATGAACCTGAGGCGTCATAAGCCACTCACTGAGCACAAACTTCATTGCCGTTACCTCGGCCACCATCCTGTACGCCGGTTCGTTGCTCATCGGTAATCGTGCGACCAGCACCACGGGCTGCCACGGATCGTCGGGAAAGTAGATGGTATACTTGAAGACGGCGTTGAATGATCCGTGCCCGATCAGGCGACGGCGGACAATAGGTCGGCCACCAAGCGCCAAGCCGATCAAAGCGACAAGCATTTTTTGTATGATGTGCTGTCTTTGCTGCCACGGCGAAGTCCAGGCGGTCGCAAGGCAGCTAGGACCTCTTTATCGAGTGCATGCAAGTTCACCCCGGAAAGCCACGCTTGCAGTTGCCGTCGTCTCCACTTTGACCCTGATGGGCCGGGCCGCAGAACCTGCTCAACCGCCTGGTAGGCGGAGAGGATACACTGCATCACGGACATGGTCGTTGGGAAAGAGTGACTGACGCAGTAAAAAGTCCTTTTCGCCAGCACACGGCTCGTTAGATCCTTTGCGCGGGAATACCACGTGGATACAAGGTTCATGCCGTAGCAAATGCTACCTTTGTCTTCTTTTCAACGTCGAAAATCAAAACGGAAGCAAATACATCGATATGTTGTGCCTAAGAGGACTGATTTCCAGATGCTCATGGCGGGAACAGCCATTCATAGTAGAGAACAGTTGTGTCCACATCCAACTCCGAAATACAATCTTTGCGCCTTCACACCCATTTCTTATCCCCATGATACGAAAGCAGCTGACCGTTATGTTCCACCGTCAGGCGTTTGATAACGTTGCTATCGGCCGATCAGTCAAGAGCGGATAAGTCAACAAGAAGACGTACAGGCACGCGTCGGTCCCATTTCTCAAGCTTTTGGGTCCACTGCAGGTAGGTTCTACTTGCTGGAGCATTTTGATAAATGGCGCAAGCGCTTCTTTTGAGTATGCTAGCAATGATGAGCAAAACGCTGCCGAGCGATTGACGACCACGTACGCTCATCCTCGGGACCGGAAGTGCGTACCCAGCCAGGACAGAGCGCAACGAAGATCATCCCCTCGTCCTTGTGCCTTATCGCATATTTTCCGATCACGTAGTTCAATGCTGCCTAACATCACATGAGTGTGACGGATGAGCAGGGTCAAGGCCTACCTTTGAAGCCCCATAAACCGCATTTCCAGAATACCCCAGGTCTTCCTGGAACTTCAGGTCTGCCATTCCGCTAGAAAGCGCGACCACTGTTTTCTTCCTGCCCCTCTGTACAAGGGGAAGGAAAGCGTTGATGGTGAGGATGTTGCCGAGCACATTCGTCTTATAAGCGGATTCGACCTCGGCCATGAGGACCGCGTCTGAGGGAAAGGTACCGAGTTCGTAGAACGCGCCCACGCCATTGTATCCCGCGTTCGCGATAAGCACGCTGATAGTTATCAGCTGGATCCGGGGAACGGAAAGGGGAGTACGTACTCGACTGCCCCGCCGCAAAGCTCAGCGACTGTCTGAGCCGCTTTCTGTCAAACCGAATCAGAAGCGCTACCGATGGAAAAAGCAAGCACACAGCAGAACCTTGCACGATTCCGGGTCTGTAGTTTCGAGCTGAACGACCGTCACGCCCGGCAGAGCTGCCAAGTCAGCGGCAGACTCAACATCTCTCGCGGTAGCGAACACCTTGTTCCCTTCCTCGGCCTAGCCAGTTTGTTACATGTCAGACAGCTTGGCCCAAGGGGAGAGGCTCACTAGTTGCCGAGCGAAGCCGAACCCGAGCCCGCGATTCGCTCCTGTGACGACGTAGGTGAGCATCCTTAAGAGCTTGAGGGAAGTCAAGTCGAGTGGGAGGAATGATCAGATCGTACATACGGTAGACAGCTGGGAGAGGAACGACCGCCCTGCGGAAGCTTAAACCATCTGTCCTAGTTCGAACAAATTTAGGCGCCCTTTCCTGGTTTGTGTATATTTGTCTTGTACATGATTTCGTGGGTTAATAACAACTCGTGTGTATGGTACAGTACGTCACACAGCTATAATAGTGTCATACATAGTTATACATATCGCTTTAGCACGCCCTATCCACCCCCTCAGGTGAACAACGGCCTCCCCCTCCTCCCCCTCTCATGCTCGCGCACGGCCCTCGCCCAGATCCCCCTTTTCTCTCCCTTCTTCCGCATCGCGGTATCCCCCGTCATAGCGCCTACAACCCTATCCCCAAGTCCGGTATTTGGTGTCGGTGCTCTCTGATGGTTCGGATGCAGCCAGGGACGCTTCTCCCCTGTCATAGGGTTTCGATTATTGCCCTGCCGCGAGGGGAGAGAAGTGATACTGCCGCCTGCAGAGGTATGATATCGCTGACGTCCGAGCATGCTGTCGAATAAGCCTGTGCGACGTCGTTTCGTCCCGAGGGCGGTCGAGTGGCTACTCCGACCTGTGGAAGGCGAACCCGGCGCGAGCGCTTGGAGGGCATGTGCAGCACCACCGTGCGTGCGCCTGCAGCTGGGGCACGCTGTTTTCCGCCGTCCTGTCGTACCAGAGGCGATGCTCATTGCACCAAGGACAGGATTCGCACGCCGCGCCCGATGGAACCCTGGTCGAGCCATGCTCCTCGAATGGGTGCGGGGCTTGACGGCCTGTTGGTGCTTGTGAACATGACTGGGTGTGCCAAAGAGACGCTCGAGAAGGGAGGGTTTATTCTTCGCCTTGGTGGATCGGATCGGCAGTACGGGCGGCGAGCGTGAGCGGGGGCGGTTGTGGGAGGCCTGACAGGATATCGATGTAAGTGGTCGTCTGGGATGAGGAAATGGAGGACGTACATTCCAGTCTACATTGAACAGACCCATTTCGTGAAGTGTTAGAAGTGGATTATAATTTTCTTTGAATATGAATGAATATGAAGGATAATATCATGTTGGTGAGAGAGGCTCATGTCCGGAAGCCCCACCGTTCCCATCTTATATCAAACAGGAAACGGAAATAAATTACTCCAATTTATGGTGGGCCTTCGCAGACAACTCATTAGGGGTCCTTCAGGCTACAAAAGTATGGAGGCTGTGACAGGACAGCTCATTAAGGGTCCTTGCAGTGGTGATAAGGCCTGGTGGTGTGGTTCACCCTGCCTGAATTTAGAGAAACAGAATGCTGTGCCAGGGTTGCATGGGCTCTGTGCTCAAACAGTTCTGTTTGGGTCTGCTGAATTCCATTCATGCCTCTTTAATTCCATGGCATGGACCCTATTACACAGCATTTAGATGGGATCAAATGGCATCACAAATCAGAGTTCTTGTGCAATTTTTTTTCCATTTTGTTTCATCACAATTTTATTTATGAGAAAATGAATAATAGAAACATTATTCTTGAAACTTAAATGAAAATAAAACATGCAATAATACTTGAAATAGAATTATTTCATTGGGTCATGAGGGTCTCAGCACAAGAATGCAGAAGTCAAAAAATTGCTTCCTATGTTATGTACGCAGCACTGTCAGGGCACCAGCTCATTGGTTGGTCAAGAGACATGACTAAGCCTTTATGACATG